GGGGGGGGGGGGGGGAGCAGGTTTGCAAGGGAAGGGCGCATCACCCACAGCAGACCCTCACCCCGACACAGGGATCTGCTGATGCCAGCTAATGCGCAGCCTGACTTGGCTTCCTGCCCTTCTCTCTCCCCCGGCTCAACCAGCTGCCCCCTGTGCCGGAACAGTGCAATGAGGGCAGGGTTGGGGGGGCTGGCAGTGGGCGATGCCCTCCCACCCCAGCCAGTCTTGGCACATGGCAGATGGACCCATGAGCAGCAGCCTCCCCCAGGCTCTGCCTTTCTTGCAGCCTGGTGAAATAACCACAAACTCGGGGCATCCAGCTGGCAGGGCCCCAGCCCCAGTCCCAGTCCCTGGGGCTGCCCATTTTGCATCTCACAGTCCACGGGGCTGGGGGCTGGGTCCTGGGGCAGGGAGGGACCAGAGGGAAGGGAAAGGCCCCAGGCTCTGCCCAGTGCTGCTCTAGTCCCCTCCCTAAGTGGGCCTGCGCAGTCAGTCACGGAGGGAGGGCTTGGGAGCCGGGGGCCATGGGACCAGGGTGGGGCTCACATTTCACACAGCAAAATCTAACACTTAAAATGAGGTAGGTTCGGGTGCAGATGCTCCTGGCGTCCGTTTGGGGGGGGGGGGAAGGGGGGGTCCGCACATGCCTCATCCCAGCTCCGCTCCGTGCGGGCGGCGCCTCCTTCACGCCCTTGCGGTGCTTCCGTCCCCACAACAACGAGAAAAATAAACCCACACAAACTCTGTCTCTCACCGGGCCCCAGCGGCGCCGGGCTCGGATTCGGGATTGTCAAGCTCAAGGAGTCTCTTTGTTACCTTGGTAAATTAGCGAGCGAATCGGATTAGTTCTGTTTCTAAAAAGGAGGCCACGGCCGCCCGGCGCTGGGTCTGACCCGCCCGGCTCCGGCGCAGGGGGCAGGGGCTGCCCCTGTCCCGTCCCACCCCGGGACCCCTCCGGAGCCCTGGCCAGGTGCTTGGGCGAGCGAGGGGGCTGAGACGCGGCCGGCGGCGGGGCCGGCGCCCCCCCCGCAAAACAAAACAAAGAAAACCCTGAGTTGCCAGTTCATTAGTCCTGCTGCCGGCAGGCAGGTCAGCGTGGGGGCGGGGGCACTGCCGCCCCCCCACAAGGTAGGCAGGCAGTGTCCGATATGTGCGAGCGAGGCCTGGAACCACCTTGCCTTTGGTACTGGCCCAGCCCAGCCCCAGACATCCCACCTGCATCCAGCCGACTCCGGGGCCCAGCTGGGGCGTCCTGTCCTGTCCTGCCACCACCGCTCCTGCTGCCCAGGCCCCTTCCCCCACGCCAGGCCTGGCTGAAGGCCTCTGCGGAGTCTCCGCTGGGCCGGGGTGGCGTGCGCACACCTGAGCCCGCACCCGCAGGGGCTAGTTCATCCACTTCCGGCAGTTCCAGGCTCCGCAGTGGCAGGGGATCTTGTGCTGATCATCCTCGAAGTCGAACTGGTAGTCGTAGGTCAGCTGGGGGCAGACGGCTAAAGTGATGCTGGTGCCTCGTTGGCCCCTCCCACCAGGGCCAGTCCATAGCCTGGCTGCCCCCACGCCTGGCACAGCCCCCAACCCCCAGGGAGCTGGTCACACTCCTGTCCTGTCCCAGCACGGACTCCTCCAGCCCAGCCCATTCCCCACCCTGCCCTGCTGGGCTAACCGCCAGCTCCTCTTGAGGTGCCGCAGCCCCCCCGGTGGCTGAATCCAACCCTGCCACTGGGATGGGATCCTCACACCTGGCACAGGTCACTAAGGACATCTTCCAGGGACCCTCCCTGGCTCCTACCTCTTCCCCTTTGGGGATGCGGCGGCTGGAGATGATGATGATCTTATCTTCCTTGTCAAAGGTCACCACCTCAGCCACACAGTTTGGGGCGCATGAGTGATTGATGTACCTGGGGGCACAGAGGACAACGGAGGGGAGTCAGAGGTGGCAATGGGAGCTGTCCAGCCCCTGCCCATTGTCGTGGCAGGGGACAGCACAAATGGGGACAGGGACTGTGTTTTCCTCTGCTCAGATGGTGCCCCTGCTTTGGCATTTGTACAATGGTTTTATCTTTGGGATTAAGGCAGTCGGAGCTTTGGCCTGACAGACGTGGCTGGGAGCAGGACTCCTGGATTTCCTGGACCTGGGAGGGAAGGGGGCCCCCTCCATACTGTCCCTCCCAGCACCCCCCTATTGCATGCTGGGGTGGCTGGTGATGGCAGAGCTGGACAGATACGAGCTTCCCTCTCCCACAGGGCTGCTTCCCCAGGTCCCAGCTGCGACTTACCTGGCTGGGCCCCCCGTCAGCGTGGCATCGATGACGTGCTCGTTGTTGATGCGGAACATGTAGATCCCTCGGTTCTGGGGAGCAGGAAGCACAGGGCCCTGATTACACAGCTGCCAGAGGTCCCCCCACCAGGCCACAGCCATGCAGGGCCCTGATCCCAGCCCGCTTCCCCCAGCCCTGGGGTCCCGACCCCACACCTGCTCTTCATAGATCTTCTCGCGCCGGTTTGCCACCTCATTGCGTATGATGGTGCCGATGTACTCGATGACCATGGTGTGTTTCTCAATGTCCTTAGCTGCGTACAGCCCCAGCCCCTGAATGCGGGAGCGCGCCAGATAAACGTTGTTCTTCCACTCGGTCTTGAGGCGCCGATATTGTGAGGATTTGGAGTGCACGAACTGCTTGCTGTAGGGCGTGTTGGTCTCGCCCGTGAAGGTGCTCTGGTAGGCCTTGGACATGCTCGTGCTGTTCAGGGTGTGGGGCCTGCGGGGGCGGAGCGTGGGGACCGTCACGGGGGAGCGTCGCCCCGCAGCACCCCAGTGGGTCCCCCCGCGCCGCCACCGCGGCGTCCCCCACCACTCACCGCTTGTAGTGGGTGAGGATCTTGGGCTCAGCCCGGGCGCAGCCAGTGGGGTTGATCATGAGTGGCAGCTCCATTAGCGGATGGCGCCCATAGCGGAACAGGTAGTTCGTGCAGCTCTCGACACCAGGCAGCTGCAGGCGGCCGTGTGTCAGTCAGGGCTGGGGACCCCTGGGGACGCAGGATCCGCAGTCCCCACACCCTATGCTCCCATCCCATCAGGAAGCGTCCTGCACCCATGCCCAGCCAACCCCCCCACCCTCTCCAAGGCAGGCATCGAGGTGCCAGTCCCGGCCTGGTACGTACAGACTCGGCGATGCGCAGTACAGCGTGCACCGTGAGGCCGAAGAGCTCTTCCCCCTTCAGGTACTCGGGGAACAGCCGCAGCATGTCGGCATCCTTCCTCATCATGGCCACCGGCTCAATGATGCGGTTCCACACAGCTGCCGAGTGAGGAGAGCAACGGGTAGACTTCGTTTCTGGACCTGCCCGCCCTCCCCCCTGCTCCGAGATGCCCCTGCCCTGCATGCCCAGCCCAGAGGGGCTCAGGAGGGTAACAGCCCTGGGCCAGCTCACTCAGTGCATAAAATGCAGCCACCTCTGGGGTGGGCAAGGATGCCCACCTCACACCCCCATGGCAGTTCTGCACGCAGACGGCTCCCCACCCTGCGGTCCCCTCCTGCAGCGCCTTACCCTGGGGCGAGGAGTCAGTGAAAACCAGGTCCTCTAGCCCCTGCTCAATGACCTGCACCACAAACTCGGGGCGCCCGTTGTTCTCGCAGATGGTGCAGCGGTAGCAGCAGCGCCGGTTGTTGGTGCGCAGGCTCCAGTAGATGCGCGTGGCCTCATAGCCCACGGGGTAGAGGGCCGTGACACTGTGGAAGTCGGCCATCTGGTGGGGCAGCAGCTGGCCGATGGCGTGGAAGACCAGGCCGCCCACGCGGAACATGTGCAGGCGCTCGCCCCGCTGGATGATGCTGGCAATCTGCTTGACCTCATCGCGCTCGATGTAGACGCGCCGGAAGACGGCGAAAGAGCTCAGCTCCTGGTCGCAGGGGCCCTTGGGCTTGTGCAGGGGGCACAGCATGGTCTTGTCTTTGAAGAACATGCACTTGGCGCGGATGGCGCAGGCAAAGTGGTAGACGCTGGGGCAGCGCAGGCGGTTGCAGCTGTTGGTGGCACCCATCTTTTGGCACAGGGAGCACTTGGTCAGCAGCCCCCGGTGCAGCGCCACCTCCACATTGATGAGGGCCCCGCCCTGCGTCTCGTACACCTCTGTGGACCACAGGGCGCAATTCAGGTGCACCCAGAGGTCCAGGTCCAGGTTGAGGAGGCGGGCGGGGCCGTCCGTGGCACCATCACCCTCCTCATGGCAGAAGCAGCAGCGCCGCAGGTCCCGCGGCACCTTCTCCGGCCGCAAAGCCGAGCCCAGCTTCTCCACAAACTCAGCGATCTCCCGGTCACCGTCTCGCTTGGCCCCACCTTTCTGGATGGTGAGCAGGAACCGCAGGCGCTTCCACCGCACCCCCTTCCACTTTTTCAGCCGCGGCCGCGCCTCATCCCCACCACCATCCTCTGGGGGCCGTGCACGTGGCTTGGCCCGGGATGGTGAGCGCGACCCCTCCTCCTTGGGGGCTGGGGAGGGGGCAGGTGGGGATGGCGTGGAGGGCACTGGTGCTGCCTCAGGGGCAGCCTCGCCAGCTGGGATGCAGGCGGTTTCAGCAGGGCTGGAGGGTGATGGGGCGAAGGGGGAAAGCGGGGGCGAGGGTTCCTCAGGTGGCAGTGACAACTGCCGCACATCCAGGTTGGACACGTTGTGGATGTAGCAGTGCTGCGCCGCCTTCTCCACCACCGGGCTCTCCTGGGATGGAGACGGGAGATCAGCACACACCCAAAACTAGTGGGGGCCAAGGGCATAGGGCCAGGCAGAACAGACGCCGGCTGCCCCAGGGGCACCAGGCAGGGCAGAAGCCCCGGGCAGAGCCAGGCAAGCTGCCCCCTTGGGGGATACTGACCTGTTTGAGAAGTGTCAGGATGTCCAGCTCACTCTTGAGGCTGTAGCCTGGCAGCACGGCGTCAAACTGCTTCAGCCACTCCGCATTGCCATCAGGCGGCTTCCCGGGCTTGTCAGTGCCTGAGAGAGGCCGAGATGGCGGCAGTGTCACAGGGGCACTGCCAGTACCCCTGGTGCCAGCCAGGAGCCCCTGGGTAGGGGGGCTGATGCGCTCCCTGCCCCCACCCCAGGGTGACTGGCACTCACCAGCTCCATCAGTCTCCACCTTCTTGGCCTCAGGCCCAGCAGCCCGCATAGGGCTTTCAGAGAACAGCACCTCATAGGAGTTGGGGATCTTCATGCTCAGCAGCTCGGCCATGGCCACCATGACGCTGTTTAGGTTCTGGGGGACAGGAGGGACAGGTCAGAGCTGGGCGCTCGAGTGCATGTGGCCTGGGACTGCCCCGTACAGTCTGGCCCCTGCCCTTACCTTGGCGGCCGCAGCAGAGACAGTCAGCATGACGGAGACCTCGCTGCCCTTGCCCTTCTCCCAGGGGACGCCCTGTGTCAGTGGGGCCTTCGCAGAGCGCTCCCCGAAGGGCTCCGGTGCTTCGTAGGGCTTGGTGTCTGGGAAGGCTGGGGGCAGAGAGCAGAGGCAGTTCAAGATGAGTGTGGTCCCCCAAACTTGAGCCCCCGCAGCCAGACAGACCCACCGACAGCACAGCCCACCCAATGCCCCCTCCTGGGTGCCACCCCACACCCTGCTGGCTCACCTGGGATGCTGGCCCTGGGAATGATGGGGATGACGGGGGACAGCACGCGCTCCTCCAGCTCCGGCCGCATCTCCATCAGCAGGGGAAAGCGGGGCACATCCTCCCCAAGGATGCTCTCCGGGGACGAGGCAGGCACGATGCTGTCGGGGGAGTCACTCTCCTCATCGCTCTCCATCCTGACAAGAGAGAAGGTGAGACCCATACCCCCAAACTGGTCCCCTCAGCCCTCTGCACCCCCCTGCCCTGCAAGGGAACCCCAGGCATGGCAGCTGCCCCTCACCGGACATCCTCAGTCTGGTTGTGTGGGGGTGTGGGTAGGGCCGCCAGCAGGTCCAAGCTCTTCACTTCCACAGCGGGAGCATCTGGATAGGGAAGATGGAGACTCAGGCTCTGCCCAGCCCACCAAAGCAGCCCCAGCCCCATCTTCCCCACCCTAAGGGAAGGTCCTCCTGCGCCCACCGCTGCCACGGGGGCATCAGGGTCAGACCACCCTCCCACCTCCCCCACTCACTGCCCTGTTGCTCAGGGACTGCCCCATGCCTACCCTTGTGGCCCTCGGGCTCACGGGCCGGGGCTGGGTCCTTGGGCTGCTCAGGCAACTCCTCGCCGGAGGTGACACCATTCACCATCTTCTGCTGCACCGAAGGGGGCGGGGTGGGGGGCAGCGATGAGGGCGGCGTCGGCGGGTTGCTCAGGTTGTTCTGCAGGGACAGGGGTGGTGCCACAGTCAGGGCCCTGGGGCACCCATAAGCCTCCGGGAGTCTGGCCCTGGCGGACCCAGGAGTCTGGGCTTCAGTTTGCCTCCACTCCCCCCAGTCCAGTTCCACAGCGCATACCTTGGAGAGTAGCTGAGAGTAGTAGTCGGGGACGCTTTCCAGAACGGCGCTGCCGAAGGCACCCTTGAGTGGGCTCCGGCCATTGATGGGGCTGCTGCCAAAGGGCGGGAAGAGGCTGAAGTTGGCCGTGATGGTCGGCTCCATCAGGGGCAGAAGGGAGAGCTCCTGGGGGGCAGAGCAGAGCCATCAAGAGGGGTCAACCCTGCCTGTGCAGCCCCATGACTGCAGGCAGACCCCCCTCCCCCTCCCACTGGGGGCGCATGGTCATGGCAGCCCCCAGGACCGCGCCAGGATAATTGCAGAGAAGTGAAGTGGAGACAGCCCCAGAGGCGTTACCTGCTTCAGTTGCTTCATGAGGGCCTCACTGGGCTTCAGGCCGTCATCCTTACGCAGCTTCTTGCGGGAGGCGGGGACCCGCTCATTGCCCTTCTGCACCCGCTTGGGCTTTGGGGCCAGCAGCTTCTTGGCAGCAGATGGGTCCTGTGGGGAGGAGGCAACGTGGATGAGTGGTGACACATGCACAGTGCCCATCCCAAGCTCAGACCATCTCCCACTGCTCCCCAAGCCCCATGGCCCAGCGCCCGGCTTACCTCCCTGCCTGGGGCCACAGCCTGCAGCCTGTGCTCTAGTGCGGCCAGCTTGCCATCGGCATGCCCGTTGAGCTCGGGGTGCAGCCCCTCGGCAGTGCGCTGTGATACCAGCTGCACGTTCTTGGCCCGCAGCAGCTTCTGCAACAGCAGGTGCCCAGCCTCTGTGCGGGCACCCGCCAGCAGCTGGCTGCCCAGCAGGTGGTGGTTGGCTGGGGTGGGTGCTGCTGGCTGCTCCCTGTGGGCCTCAGGCTTCAGGAGCTGCTCCGCAACCAGCTCGCACGGCACTCCCTCCTCCTTGGGCTCCTGCTTGATGCACACACCGGGGGGCATCGCCAGTGGCCCCCCAGCTTCAGATAGCAACGTCCCTGTGCGGGGCACTTCAGCTGCCTGCCCATTGATGGGGACCATGGGCAGGCGTGCCTTTGCGGGCTCCATGCCAGGAGGAGCAATGGGCCCCTGCGCCGTGGGATCCCAAGGGCTAGGGGGCACTGGGAAGGGCTCCTCCCTGCTCTGGCTGGAGGTTGGCTTGGGGGGAGCAGGAGAGGGGTCAGGCTTGGGTGGCTCAGGCAGGAGCCCACTGTGGGGGGGTGTTGGCCGCTGCTCCGGCAGGGCTGCAGGGGTCTGTGCCAGGAGGGGAGGGGAGGCTTTCTTTGGCTCTTGGGCGCCCTGTTCCAGGCTGGGCACAGGGTGCTGCGGTGGTGCGGGGCCCAGGCTGAGCACGCTCAGGGGCGACTGGATGGTGGGGGGTGCTGGTGTGGTGGACAGTCGTAGCATGGCTGGCTGTGGGCTGCGACCGCCATGTACCAACTCTGCCAGTGGCTGTGGTTGGGGGGCCCCTGCAGACACCCGCTCCATGCCGAGCCCTGGCTCGGGGGCTGGGCCAGCTGAGCGCACCTGGAAAAGGGTGCCCAGCTGGCGGGGTGGCGCGGGCGAAGGGGCATGGGGAGCCGTGCCCGGCTGCCCAGATTCCTGCCCTGGGAAGGGGCCGGCCTGGCGCAGCGCCTGGCTGTGCTGCAGCAGGCTCTGTTGGTGGCGCTGCACAAGCAGGGCTTGCAGCTGCTGCTGCTGCTGCGGTGTGAGGTGCCGCAGCTGTGGGTTCTTGGCCAGCACACCCTGCAGCTGTGCCCGGATCTGCCCCAGCACCGGCCCCGGCACCTGGCCCAGCAGGCTCTGCGCATGGGCTGCTGGTGGGAGCAGCAGGCCCTGCTGCTGCAGCCCAGGCCGGGGTGGTCCCACCGTGCTCTGCAGCCGCGAGGGCAGCTGAGGGTGCCCCACAATCCGCTGCTGCTGCTGCACCATGATGCTTTGCGCCTGGCTCATGGCACAGCTCTGCGGTGGCTCCGATGCTGGCAAGCCCGGCTGGGGTGGCCCTGGGCTGGGATCCGCGTGCAGCTGTGGTGGGTCCTGCCTGGCAGCTCCTGCTGTCGGGTCGCTGGGCAGGGGCTGGTGCAGCAGGGCACCGGACTGTGGCACTCCTGGCATGCGCAGTGGTGGCGGCTGCCCCAGCTCCGGTGGGTGCTTCTGCAGCTGCTCTGCTGGGGGCTGCAGCACAAGCTGGGTCGGCTGCTCCTGGCTGCCCGGCGGCTCTGGGGGGCTGGTGTGCAGCTGTCCACCCAGGTCCTGGCCACCCGGTGGCCCCTGCCCCGCTGGCTCGGTGCCCTCGGCAGGCAGTGCAGTGCCTTCGGGTCCTCCCGGCTGCTCCTTGGCGGCCAGGCTCGGCTGCATTCCCTGACTCAAGTGTAGCACGGAGGGGGCCTGGCCCAGAGCCCCGTGCTGCGCAAAGTGCTGCATCTGCTGCAGGCCAGCCTGGCCCTGGCCCTGGCCCTGGCCCTGCAGGGCCTGGTGCTGTCCTAGAGAGTTCTGCTGCTGCGGAGTCAGCAGTGTCCGTGCCGGCCCCAGGAGCCCAACCTGCTGCTGCTGCTGCTGCTGCTGGGACAGGATGAGGCGGTGCCCCAGGAGGCCAGGCGCCTGCTGCCCGAGCTGGGGCGACCCCAGCACCCTCTGCTGGTGGGGGGCCAGCAGCAGCTGGCGCGGCTGGTGGCTCATCCCCTGGTGCTGCAGCGTGGGCGCTGAGGGGTGCCCCTGCAGGCCTGGTTGCGGTGGCTGCTGCGGGGAGAGCTGCTGCACCAGGATGCCCTGCTGGTTTCCCATCAATCCTTGCTGCTTTGGGACCATAGTCTGGCCCCCCGGGCCTGGCTGTGGGGTGGGTGGTGGAGGTGGCGGCTGCGCCTGGCCCATCAAGCCAGTTTGGCCCACAATGCCTTGCTGCTGCAGGGAGACCTGGCCCAGGATGTTCTGCTGCTGCTGCTGCTGCTGCTGCAAGGAGACCTGTCCCAGGATGCTTTGCTGCTGCTGCTGCTGCAGCTTCTGGGCCAGCTGCATCCGCTGCAGCTGCCGCTCTTGCAGGAGGCGGCTGTCAGCACCCAGCCCCCGCAGCGTGGGGCTGCCGGCGAAGAAGCTGTTGGAGGTCCCGGGCACGGCCGCGTTCCCCAGCTGCTGCTGGCCCATGAACGACAGGCCTTGCTGGACCGCCATAGGGACTCCGCTGCTGCCTTGGGGAGGGCGCAGGCCAGCCGTCTGCCCCACCAGCTGTCCTGGGGGTTGGCCCAGGCCTGGGGCGCCCACCATGGTGGCTCCTGGTTGGGACAGGGATGGTTGGACACCATGTGCTGGCAGCAGCTGCCCAGGGAGCTTGGCCATGAGGCGCGGGCTCTGTGAGGGGCTGAGGGCCAGCACGGCCGAGCTCTGCTGGTGCTGCTGCTGCTTGTTGCGGTACTCAGCCATCAGGTTGGTGTGCTCCTTCTGCTGCTTGCGGACCTGTGGAAAGAGGCCAGGCTGAGCACCACGGTGTCCCTGCCCTGCCCTGGGACCCCCTCCCAGCACCCCCCAGGAGAATCCCACCTGGTCCAGCTGCTTCTGTATCTTGCTTTGCTGCTCCGTGACTAGTTTGAGCTTCTCAGCATCAGCCTCAGGAAACTCCCGCCCGGCCTTCTTGGCGGTGCGCTGTTTGGCGCACAACGCCTTGCGGGACTTGCGGTGGACGCCAATCTGCTCCTCCAGCACCTTGAGTTGCATCTGCAGCAGCTGCTGTGTGTGGAAGAGCCACTCCTCGTACTGCCGCTGGTCGGCCTCATCTGCAGAAGGGCAGAGGGGTTGAGATGTGCCATAGGGACCAGGGGAGGTCACAGGGAGGAACCAGGTCCTAGGTGGACAGGGTAAGGCCCCCCCAGGCCCCTTTTCCCATTTTCCTATGCTGGGTACTTACTGATAACGCCCTGAGCAAAGGTCGGGGGGTTGGGGCGAGCCTGGGCTGGGTCGCTGCTGCTCCGCTCCTGGGACACAAGGGAAATCATAGAAATCCTAGAGCCACGGGGCTGGAAGAGACTTCCAGAGATCACATCTATTTCAAGCCCTGCTTGAGGCTGTGCCCAAACCACCCCAGACAAGTCCATTATCTAAACGCTTCATAAAACTATTGTCACCATGCCAGACCCTGCCGCAGGGAAAGCAGGGGCACTGTGGCAGCCAGCATCCAAATTGTATAAGAGACCCCAGGCAGAGGCTGTGCCCCCAACCAGAGGAAAGCAACCCCCCCCCCCAGTCCATACCAGTTTGACCAACAGAGAAATCCCTTCATGCCCCAATGCAGCGTCAGTCTGACACTGACTGGAGAGGCAAGACCCTCAAGCCGGGACCCTCTGGCTTTGGTCCCAGCACGAGCACTGGTGCAGCCCAGTCAAAATCACCCCAGGAGAAACTGGCATCCACATGGACACCTACACGTTTTGGCACCCTGCGGCCCCACGCTGCCCTGCCCTGGCATCTCCTCCAGGCCAACACCCCAATGGGAACCCGGCATCACAGCTTTGCAGGCAGCTCAGTGCATATCTGGGTGCCAGGGCCAGCTAAGTCCCAGATGCCCCAGAAACCCAGGCCAGGTAACTTGTGAGGCAGAGTCCCCCGAGGGAGATGGCACCGCGCTCACCTGCCCACTCCCAGCCAGGATATGGTTCTGCATCTCGGCCGTGGCCGGGGCTCCTGACAGCCGCTGGGCCAGCAGTGACACCTGTTGTCTGTGGGGCCAAAGCAGATGAAGGCATAAGCAGGGGCCCGTGGCATTTGCCCACCCACCTGCCCAGCGCTTCTACGGCCCTACCTGTTCATGCCGGGGGCCACGCCAATGCTGCCCTGTGCCATCACCTTCTTGATGCCCTTCAGCGCCACCATCTTTGCCTTGGCAATGGGGTCCATGATGTCCTCAGCTGCAAACTTATCTAGGTCTGCAAGGAAGGAGCTGCTCAGCCAGTGTCTCCCTCAGAAAGGTCCAAGCCCCCCCCCCC